CACCACTCGGCCGGCCCAAATGACCACCTCTTTAGGTCTAAGTTTCCTCCTTTGTGGAAGGAGGAGGAAATAACAATACAGACACCCTCTCTCTCCATCATCCTCCCATGTCTTGCTCCCTTCTTACCGCCCACCTGGTGACCTCATTGTCATCTCGCCATGGCTGGACCCCATAGCCTCCTGTAGCAGGTGATGTCTGGGGCCTCAGGCCTCACCATCAGGTACCTATATTTTTTTAGGGCTAGAGCCTGTCCTACCCAAGTGCCGGGAAATTCAGGCCCCTTAAGGGCAGCCCTCAACAAGTTACTAACAGAGGGAGGTGCAGGATCAATACTCTAGCTCCATTGCTCCTCAGGTGGATGACTCTGAGCCATGTGTCTTACATAATCTCCTAGCATTCCCCTGCGGCACTGAGCCCCAGTTGCCTATGGCAGGAACTTGCTTGATAACAAGAGTGACCAACCACCCCGATTTGCCCAGGACTAAGGGTTTTCCGGGACACAGAATTTTGAGCCCTCAGACTGGCAAGTTGATAACCTCAGTGATAACTCATGGATTATTGACTGCTCCCTCCCTTCCTTCTGTCACCTCCCTGCTCCCCAACAACTGCTTACTCTGAGACAACCTCACACAATCCTTGTCTCAGGCTCTGCTTCTGGGAGATTCCCAACCTCCTTCACACCCTTTGAGCAGCTCATCGCCTCAGCCACTGAGTGCTTGTGAGGGGCAGATGTCGTTCTTAGAATGTTCTGTCTGCTGCCTGGTTTTTCTTTGTGACAGCCCTTTGAGGAAGGGTCTTCTGTCATCTCCATTTTATGTGTGGGGAAGTTGAGGTTCAGGCAGGAAAACGACTTAGCTGGAGTCACCTCATCAGCAATTGGCATGTCTTATGGATCAGACTGGGGACAGAGACAGGTTTCCTCCCCTGATGGCACATACCTGGCATCAAGGGCTGGGATGTGCTGGTTGCTGTCTCCCACATCATAGGCATTATCTCATTTAATCCTCACACCCCTCCCAGGAGGTGAGACAACCTTTCCCTCACTGGGAAATCGAGGTCTGGAGAGGTGGCTGAGCCCAGGTTCAAGCCCAAGCAGGCTGGCCCTGAGTGCACATCCTTAACCACCAAGCTGGTGCCTCCATACGTGTAATTTCCTTTTGGGCGGCGGCTGTGGCCATTTGGGGTGGGGGGAGTCTGGTTGCTAGTGAGGCCAGCTGGTAGGGGGAGGGGAGAGGAGGGGCCCAGATGGCAGACCTGGCTGAGAGCCCTCAAGTTGGTGTCTGGGCTGGCAGGCTGAGCCCAGGCCTGCCCTGACCCCTCGCCACCAGTCCTAGTTCCTTGGGGACCCTCCTGTGGCTAAAGCATCCCTCACTCCTCTGCCCCCACCCCTACTCCTGCGGTTGGCCCAAATACCAGACAGGGTGAATTTCAGCTTTCCCCCAAACATTCCTTGCTCCAGTGGCCTGGCCCAGGCTGGCTGAGGTTACGCAAGCAGAGCTGGGGGGTTGGGGGTGGGGGACTAAGGGGACGGGCTGGGTTGGACTCACCACCCCATCCGGCAGCCCACTCACCCTCCCCAAGGCGGGGAAGGGGGTAGGCTAGCTCTCTTGAGCTCCTGGGGGAGCAGGCTGCAGGGAGGGTGGCCTGTGCTGAGATGGGGGGGCGGTGGCAGCCACGGCAGAGGCTCCAGGAGGTGACCGCCTGGTTTCCATTAGGAAGCCCTGGTCGGCAGTTCAGGCAAGACGGCAGAACTGGGGCTGGCTATGGTGAGGTGGGGCGGGGGAGGGTCTGAGGGTGGGGCCTGCCTACCCCCACACCCTATTAGGGGATGCTGTTGTCACTATGGCAACCCTGTGCCGAACCTGGCGACACCCTGACCCTATCCCTCCACTCCCAGCAGCTAAGCCTGCTGCTGCTGTTCCTACTGCTGCCCGGCCCCCCAGTTGCCCCCGGCATGGAGGACGCCGCCTTCCCCCACCTGGGTGAGAGCTCACAACCCCTGCCCCGGGCCTGCCCCCCGCGATGCTCCTGCCCCCGGGCGGACACGGTGGACTGCGATGGCCTGGACCTGCAGGTGTTCCCCGACAACATCACCAGGGCTGCTCAGCACCTCTCCCTGCAGGTGGGGTGGTGGTGGGGGTGCAGGGTGCATGCAGGGGGCATGAGTGTGGAAAGTGTTGGGGTTGAGCGTAATGGGGTATGGGGTCCACATGCAGGGGTGAGGTGTTGGGTGTGCAGGTCTTGGCACTGATAGAAGTTGGGTTTGGTGAGTGTTGGGGTCTGCATATCAGAGGCGAGAGAAAGCAGGCGTACAGATATTGGATGTGGGAGAGGCTGAGGATTTGGGAGCAACAGGGGTCAACATCTTGGTGGTTATGGGGTTATTTGGAGTTAGAATGTTGGAACACTTAGGGCTAATTGTGGGGATGATGGGGTGCTGGGAGTCAACATCTTGGCAATTATGGGGTTCTTTGGGGTGAGGGTGATGGGTGTCAAGGGTTAACGGTAGGGGTGGATAGAGTGTTGGAGATTGATGTCTTTTTGGTTATGGAGTAATGGGGCATTTGGGATCAACTGTGGGGGTGATGGGGATCTTGGGGCTCTCTTGCTTAGGGTGTGGGGAGCTGAGAATCAGGGCTGGGGTCAATTGTTGAGGACTCAGGGTCATCGGGGTCAGGGGTGTGAATACCCCCCTACCCCCCCAGAACAACCAGCTCCAGGAACTCCCCTACAATGAGCTGTCACGTCTCAGCAGCCTCCGGACCCTCAACCTGCACAACAATCTCATCTCCTCTGAGGGTGAGGGGGACAACAGGAAGCGGCCCCTCCCGGCATGGTCCCAGCAGCCCTCTCCCTCCCCCTGCTGGGTCTGCGGGCAGCTCTGTGGCAGTTCCCAGAATTGCCCTTTGCTGAGCAGGATGGAAACTAGGGATGGTGGTGGTGGTGGTGTTGGGGGGGAGGGGGTTGCTGTGGCTTTTGTGGACAGGGAGAGGGGTGTCTGAAGGAGCCTCTGCCAGTCCCTGGCCAGGAGCCCTGGGGGGCTGGGAGCACAGACTCCCCCTGCCCCCCACCCCATGCAAGGCCTGGGGTCCCCTCACCGCCCGCCCCACTCCCAGGCCTGCCTGACGAGGCCTTCGAGTCCCTCACCCAGCTGCAGCACATCTACGTGGCCCACAACAAGGTGAGGCACCCACCTGAACCCCCACCCCAGACCAGGCCTGGCCTGGGCCAGGGTCACACAGCACAAAGTGCTGAGGGGACAGCACAGGGCTGGAAGGGGACCACTAGGACCAGTATGTTGTGCTCCCACAGCTCTCAGTGGCCCCCCAGTTTCTGCCCCGTTCCCTCCGAGTTGCAGATCTGGCTGTGAACCAAGTGACAGAGATCTTCCCGCTCACCTTTGGGAAGAAACCGGCGCTCAGGTAGCCCCTGACCCAGCCCAGGCCCTCCAGGCCTCAGGCATGCCTAAGTCATTCCCCACCATAGGAGTCTGAGGGGCTCATGAGCCTGCCCTGGGGGGTCAGGGGGAGGTAGGGTCCTGGATGTTCTGTCTGGAGAACTACACACACACACACACACACACACACACACACACACACACACACACATACACACTGAAGGCAGCCCTGAGCGTTCAGGGCAAGTGTGGGGGGCAGTGGGGAGCCCGGGGACAAGCTGGTTCAGGGCGAGTGTCGGGGGCAGTGGGGAGCTCGGGGACAGGCTGGTGGCTGGAGCCTGGCTTCCCTCAGGTCCGTGTACCTCCACAACAACCAGCTGAGCAACGCCGGCCTGCCCTCTGATGCCTTCTACGGCTCCGAGGCCGTCACCACCCTCAGCCTCTCCGACAACCAGCTCAGCTATCTGCCGCCCAGCCTGCCGCCCTCTCTGGAGCGGCTCCACCTACAGGTGCCCGTTCTTCGCCTCATGGGCCCCCTGGTCCTGCCTCCTGAGGCCCTTTCAACCTCTCTCCTGGGGAACCCCTCCACCTCCTCAGAATTCCAGCAGTCAGAAATATCTTAGAAATACCTTTTTCTGAGTCTCTTCAACTGGCACAAGTTGCTCACAAGTGCTCTGTGAGCAGACTTGCTAAAGCCAGCTCCTTGTCTGTAACTCCCTTACTCAAGAGCCCTCTGTGGCTCCCTGCTGCCCTCTGTCCTGGACCCTTAGTCTTATTCTCTCCTCACTTCCCAGAGCAACCTCATCTCCAAGGTGCCCAGAGGAGCCCTGAGCCGCCAGACCCACCTCCGTGAGCTCTACCTCCAGCACAATCAGCTGACGGACAGCGGCCTGGATGCCACCACCTTTAGGTGGGGCCTGGGGCGGGGTGGGACAGGGTACAGCTTTATGTTGGCAGTCCGGGCTGAGGATTCGGAGTCTGGGGCTCCCACTCTTTGTCCCTTTCCTCTGTATGACTCTTAACCCACAGTCTCCTTTGGTGAGTGCCTACTGTGTGCCAGCCTTGCCTGAGCACCTGGCAGCTATCCTCACTCCCAACTACCCTGTGCTGCATCTTGTTATACGATGTCACAGCTATCACATGCACCTCTGGATCCAGAACTGTGTCCTGGTGGTCACCCTCACATCTAACCCTTGGGCTGGAACCTGCTCTGATCACCCTAAGTTTACCTCCCACCCAGATCTCTCAAGTCACCACCCCAAAGTTGGAATTTCCAGCGGACATCTCTCAGGACCACCCTTTGGCCCTCCTGCACCCCCAAGATCCTCCTGGTCCCCCATGCTAGGTGCCCAGACCAACACTGGCCTTCTCTCTCACCAGCAAACTGCACTGCCTCGAGTACCTGGACCTGTCCCACAATCAGCTGGCCACCGTGCCCACTGGCCTGCCCCGCACCCTGGCTGTGTTGCACCTGGGCTGGAACCGCATCCGGCAGGTGCAGGCCGACCGGCTGCATGGGGCACGGAAACTGCGCTACCTGCTGCTTCAGCACAACCAGCTGGGGGCGGCAGGGCTGCCTGCCGGGGCGCTTCGGCCTCTGCGGGGCCTGCATACGCTGCACGTCTACGGCAACGGGCTGGAGCGTGTGCCCCTGGCGCTGCCGCGCAGCTTGCGGTCTCTGGTGCTGCTCCACAACCGAGTGGCCGCGCTGGGCGCCCACGACCTGACCTCCACACCTGGCCTGGCCGAGCTCAACCTGGCCTATAACCGCCTGACCAGTGCCTGCGTGCATCGCCGGGCCTTTCGCTCACTGCGTGTCCTACGCAGCCTAGACCTGGCTGGAAACCAGCTCACCCGGCTACCCACCGGCCTGCCCACCGGCCTGCACACCCTACGACTGCAGCGCAACCAGCTGCGGGCTCTCGAGCCCGAGCCGCTGGCCGGCCTAGACCAGCTGCGGGAGCTCAGCCTCGCGCACAACCGGCTTCGTGTGGGCGACATTGGGCCTGGCACCTGGCAAGAGTTACAGGCCCTCCAGGTCAGGGGTGGGCAGATTAGCCACAATGAGTGTCCCCAGGACCCCCCAATGGCTCCTCCACCCCCCTGCCTGCCTAGCTCCTCTTCCACAAGGCCCTTAGATATCACAAAGAGAACGCCCTGTGGGGGTGGGGTGGGGTGGGGGTGGGGGTGTAACCCTGGGATGGATAAGGCAGATCCACCTCCAGGCCTTTGGCTATGCTGTCCCTGCCCGCTCGTCCTTCGAGACAGCCCTTCCACCTCCCCAGTGAACACCGTGGCCTTTAGCTCCTTCTGACCACTGATGATTCCAGAGTTTAGAGCATCTGTGGGTGCCAGGAGCTGTTCTAGGCACAGTGACACAGCTCCTAGCCCTAGGCACAAACACCCTGCTTAGGGAGAAAGCAATCGATAAAAATCGTAAGTAAATGATAGAGTGTTAGAAGGGCATGAGGAATCAGACAAAATGCCACCTTTGAGTGACTAATTGAATCAACATCTCCCACAGCAGGCGGGGACCTGTCTGTGCCCCCAGCACCTACAGCAGAGCCTCACCCAGAAGGGACTCAGTTTACCTCTGTTGAGGGGAGGAATTTGGCAGCCACGAAGAGGGATAATGGGAGGGGGCAGAAGGACTGGGTTGGGCATGGAGGGCAGGAGGACCTGGGAGGAGAGTGGTTAGGGGCTTGGCTGAGTGGGTAGCCCAGGGTGTCTCTGCCCACCTGCCCAGGTGCTGGACCTCAGCCACAACGAGCTGTCCTTCGTGCCTCCCGACCTGCCTGAGGCCCTGGAGGAGCTCCATCTGCAGAGCAACCGTATCAGCCACGTGGGCCCCGACGCCTTCCTCAGCACACCTGGCCTGCGTGCCCTCTTCCTCAGGTGCCCTGAGGGCGGCCGGGCGGGTCCAGGTGGGCAGGGGAGGGCCCTGATGGACTGTGGGGGGAACCCCAGCAGGCCCGGGGGGTCAGGATGATTGTGGCCCCCTTCCCTTGCCCCTGCCCTCATGCCCACTTCCTGGTCCAGGGCCAACAGGCTTCACATGACCAGCATTGAGCCCGAGGCCTTCCTGGGCCTCCTGCACCTGCATGTGGTGGACACGACGGGTAACCCGGAGCAGGTCCTGGTCCAGCTGCCACCCACGGCCCCACATCGGCCACGGGCATAGAGCCCCTGAGCCTGAGAGGCCCGGCAGAACAGTCCAGATACCTGGGGCTCTGCTGTGGACTAAAGAGATAGCACCCACCTGGGGCCTCAGTCTGGCTCTCGAAGGCCTTGAGGGCAAGGCCGCCTGACTCATGATGGCTGGGAAGCTGGGGCGCCTCCTCCACACACAGGGACTGAGGCATGCAGCTCATACACGAGGTACAGTGACCACGTCAGCCCTGCCAGCCATGCCACCACTCCCCACAGATGGACAGCAACAATAAAGCCTAACCCTTTCAAGTGCTCATCACAGACCAGGTGCCCTTCGCCTTGTGGGGTGGGAGGGGCTCTAACTATCCCTGTATCCAGCAGAGGAAACTGAGGTTCCAGGATGCTAAGTGGATCAAGCAATTTGGTCCAGGTCCTGCAGCCAGTGAGCGAGCAGCAGGGCTGGATCTCAAAGCCCTGAGACACATTCGAGTCACCAAACATCACCACGTATGGGTGTATAAACCCAGATCTGCCCAAGGCCATTGGCTGAAGAAACGCATAGTGCGGCAGGCGCCCCCAGGCAGGTCACAGACCCCATGACAGACACACGGGGCCTTCACACGTTGAGTCTAACATGTCTTTCACAGACACTGCCTCCCCCAGCCTGCTCCTCTTACAGGTACCTCCCCTTCTACTAACCTGGGGGAGGGTGTGCGTGAGGTGAGACCCAGCCCAGCCACCGAGAGCAAGAAACAAAGGCAGGACCAAGTGAGCCGGGTGTGGCCCTGGCTGTTTATTCCATGTGTCAACCCTGGGGCCCAGCTAATCCAGGGCACCCCCCTGGGGAGTCAGCCAGGCTCTGGCTGGCCTCAGAGGCTTCTTTGGGGTATGGGTGGGATTCAGGGTTAAGGCTAGGGAGGGACAGGAAGTAAAGTGCTTGCAGGGGCCCTTGGGGCTTGGTCCTAGCCACCCTCCCACCTCTGGGGCAGGCCAGGGGCTGGATACCCCTGGGCTGTGCAAACAGGACTCTCCGAGGCCCACGGAGCCAGGCCTGGGCGAGGGGAGGGCTCCTTCCCCGACGCCCACTGCCAGGGAGGCTCCAGGTAGGCTGGGTTGGCCCAGCAGGGGATGCATCCATCCAGAGCTGATTGTCTGCTGATTGTCTGCTTGTCTGGTCTGAGACCGCAGCTGTGTCAGCTCCTCCCAGCGCCGGGGCCTCAGGCCTGCTCCCCTATCTCCAGGGGCCACAAACCCCACTGACCCCTCACCTACGGAGCCGCTGCAGCTGTAGGAGAGGACGCTGGGATCAGGGGGAGGGGGGGCGGGCTTGGCCACAGCTGCCCGCCCTCCAACCCCAACACCTGAGCCGCTCACCTCATTCTCAACCAGGTTCCGCCTATAGAGTGCCTCCTTTGCAGCTTCCTGGGGGTCCAATGGGTGGTCAGTGGGCAGTCCGGCAGCCCTAGCCCCCCAGTACCCACCAGGACCTTGCCCGGCTCACCCTGCTGCCATCATTGCCCAGGCGCCGGGCGGCCTCTGTGTAGAACTGCAGCTGACGTTCCAGCTGGGCCATGTATTCTGAGGGGGAGTGGGGGTTAGGACGGGGCCACTGCCACCACCCCTCCCCCACATGCCTGTCCCCGAGTCCCTACCCCTCCGGATGCCTGGGCCCCCCTGCTCCAGCTGGGCCCTCTGCCACTGGCTGCGTTGCATGATGTCTTGGTACTGCTGGGCTACCTCCGGGGGTACTGGCCGCCGTGCCTGCCTGAGGGACAGGATCTGGGGGGGTGCAGGGGAGGCTGTGAGGGACCTGCCTGAGCCTGCAGCGCCCCCCAATCCTGCCCCACTGAGCCCAGTGGGTGGGCACTCACCTTCCGTTCTAGACGCTCTTGGTCAAAGGCCAGCACACTGAGGCTATGCAGTGGCCGGGTGGATCTACGGGGTGGGGATAAGGATGAGGGACTGCAAGCATCCCCCATCCTTGACCCCATTAATTTGACACGCTGGGCACTGGGGAACAGTCAGAGACAAGCCAGGCCCAACACAACCTGGTGATGACGATGGCCGTACACCCAGGCAACTGCAATGCCAGGCAGTCAAGGAGGGCTTCCTGGAGGAGGCACCAGCCAATTTGGGACCCACAGGAGTCAGAGTTGAGCAGTGGAACAGGGAGAAAGTGTGAAAATAGAGGTACTCCGGGCATGCTATCAGAGAAGCCCAGAGGACAGTGAAAACTAGGTGTAGCCATGAACCGACAGGAGCAAGTGGAGAGAGAGGAGGGTGGGTATATTGACAATGGTCAGATCAAAAAAGGTAAATATCAAGCTGAGGAGTTTAAACTGGGTCCTCCAGGAGAAGGGGAGCCACGAAAGGTTTGGAAGCAGGGAAAGGACACGTTCCAATTTGTGCCTGAAGGGAAATTATCTAGGAAGGGCTGAGATGTGAAGAGGGTTTCCTTCCAGCGTGGCCTGGCCCAGCCACTCACCTGTTTCCTGGTTCCCTCGTAGGGGCAGGCACAGGAGGGGCCTTCCCTTTGGGCCCAGCAACCTGCTTCAAAGGACAGAACCAGTATCATGAATCTTGGCCCCCTTGAACCAAGCCTCCCTCCCTAGGGTTGCTGCTGGGTGGGAGTGGTCTCACTGTGGGCACAGCTGCTGGCACAGGGTCAATGACCAGCCACCTCTCAGTCGTTGTCTCCAATTGCTGGGCTGTCAGTGGCTCTCGAATCCGGACCATCACCTCCAGCCGCCCCCCAGTGGGCCGGCGACCATCCAGTACCTGGTTGGGAGTGAAGGGCGGTTACTGAAAAGTAGGCAGCGGCTGAATGAAGGCCCACGGCTGGGATCAGGGAGAACCAGGATGATTTCCAAAGTATGAGCCCATGGGTATGACTGAGACACCAACTGGTCATAATGGAGCAGGGTGCTGGGAGTATTTAGGGCTGCGAGTGGGGTGGTCTGAGATTCCCAGGGGAGGGGCTGGGTCAGCAGTGGGAACCTTGGAGAGGCTCAGGGCAGGTGCTCAGGACTTCTCAGCAGAGAAGCCTTGTTAACGAGTGACACAGCCATGCTGGAACATTGAGATGAATGTCCATCTCACCTCAAGGATCTCCCGGACCTCGCATGCTGTCTCCAGGGTATCCAGCTTCAGCTGGGCTGTGCCCAGGACCCGGTCAGTTTTGAACAGCCCGCTGTGTGTATGAGGGGAAAAAGGATGGTTGACCCAGGGCAGCTCCCCCTCCCCAAGCCCATACAGTGCCTGCCCCCTGCCCAACTCACCCCTTGTGCACCACTTCGAACTTGATGCCTTTAGTCTGGATGGCCCTTCGGAAGCCTCGATGGCTGCGGTTGATGCATAGTTTGAACTGCTCCTTGAACTCTGCCCGGGGAAGGAAGGAGGGGTCAGGCTCTGGTCTCGTGTTCTTTCCACAGGGGTGGGGGTACCTACAGCCCATGTCGCACCAGGGGAGTCTGTGTTCTTGATCACGCTGGTCTTGTCTTTCTGAGCTTCTTCCTGGGACCAGACAGGAGACATGAAAGCTCAGGGGCTGGGGCCTGGCCTGGGACCCCTGCCCGGTCCATTCCCTAGCCTGATGGGGTTTGAACCCATCTCTCTTCAGCTCTCCACATACCACATTGGGATAGGGGAAGTCGAACCGAACGAAGACATCCAGGTCACCGGGAGACAGCCCTGTGGGCAAACAAGGGTCAGGGCTGGGCCGAGAGGTGACCCCCACAGCCCTGACCCCTGCCTGGCGCCCCCTCACCTGGGGGCGTGGGCAAGCTGATGCCCTTCACGATGAACAGGAGCATGTCATTGCTGCTGAGGTCGGGGAAGATCCTTCCGGAAAGGCAGGTGGGGAGACAGAGGCACCTCAGCCCCACTGCCTGCCCGCCTCCTTTTCCCTCGGTGGGGGCAGGGAACAAACCCCCTGATGGCCTTTGGGGGTATCTCGGCTCCACAAACTAGAGTTCTGTCCAGTTCTGCCACTGGCTAACTTTTGGGCCCTTTCTTCAGCCCGCACATACTGATTTACTACCTACTTTGCGCCAGACAGTGGCCTTGCTGCTGTGGGACCTTCTCTTCACTGACATTCCTTAAGCCCTTACTACGTGCCAGCCAGTGGCCTCATGGCTGGGGATAATAGAAGTACATGAGGGAGACCCTGTCTCTGTGCTCATGGAGCCTGAGCTGGCTGGGTGGACAGATGACCCACAAATATTGGGCTGTCGGAAAAGTCATAAAACATTTTTGCAACGAAAAACATAGAAAAAATACGTCATGACTTTTCTGATAACCCAATATATAAACAGAAAAAAAAAACAAAGCAACTCTGCAGAGAATTAAAATAAGGGGGATACTGAAGTATATATACTCAGGAGGGGTTGCTTTAGACAGGATGGTCAGGGAGGGCCTCTCAGTGGAGGTGACATCATAGGTGATTCCTGATGTCAAGAAGGGGCTGCTACATGGAAACCTGGGGAAGAGAACCTGGGGAGGGGAACCATTGGGGCAAAGGCCCGAAATGGGAACATACTTGGTGCATCCAAGGAACCAGAAAGAGGCCTGTGTGGCAGGAGACGAGCAAAGTGGGGACAATGAGTAGAGAGACAGTCATGGGGAGCCAGGCCATGCAGATATGGGGGAGCCAGAGAAAACGGTGTGGGTTTTCCTAGGTGGCTATCCTAGGTTACCCCAGGGGCTGTACGTAACCTCATCTGTAAGTGGGAAATATGATCCCAACTCCCCAGGGTGTGGGAAGACTTAAGTGGAGCAGAACCAACAACCACCATCCCGCAGGGCAGGAATGCACTTACTAGACCTTTCCCATTTCTAAATGTGTCACTACCAATGCCCCTTCACTTGCTATCCTTCACTTGCACCGCATGCCTGCCTCAGGACCCTTACACATGCTGTACTCCCACCACCAACCCAAATTCTCCTCCAGAGGCAAGTCGTCTGCCCGCTTCTGGGGAGGGCAAATCCCTCCTCAAAAGGGGATCTGGGCCAGGGACCATCGGGGCCTTACTTGATGATACTGAAGGTTCTTTGCTCAAAGCGGGCAGTGGGTGTGGGGAGACCCCGGGCGAAAGCCTGCTTCAGAGTCTCCATGCTCCGCTTACAGTCCTCTGCCAGTTTCTCAAATCTGCCGGCGAGAGAACCCTGTTCAGGTCCCTGGTCCCAGAGGTGGCTGGGGGTGCACACATCTGGCAGAGGTGGGCATGGGGGCACTTACTTGCTGGTTTCAGCGATGTTGCCCAGGTGAGTGAACTGGTTAGAGTGGTTCAG